GAAGAAGAAGAAGAAGAAGAAGAAGAAGAAGAAGAAGAAGAAGAAGAAGAAGAAGAAGAAGAAGAAGAAGAAGAAGAAGAAGAAGAAGAAGAAGAAGAAGAAGAAGAAGAAGAAGAAGAAGAAGAAGAAGAAGAAGAAGAAGAAGAAGAAGAAGAAGAAGAAGAAGAAGAAGAAGAATGTTGGAAGGGACCTTGGAGGTCATCGAGTCCAACCCCCTGCTCAGGCAGGACCCTATATACCTATATAACCTATACCTATATAACTATAAAGGAGCCTGCCCAGCTGGTTGTAAGTTGTGAGAGTTGTAAAATATAGCCCCGCGTTAGGCCCGTCGTAAGTTTGAAAAGCCGTGAAGTCAACGGTCATAAAGGGAGGACTGCCTCTCACGGAGTAACCTCCGTCTGCTTGTGACCGGATATAATTGGGCCAGTTCTGGGGTTTGGGCGAAGGGAGCTGCTGGGGAATATTAATAAACCCACTAAACCACGGTAACACGTGTGTGAGCGGGACAAGCACAGGACGAGGCAAATACATAATAAATAAATTGTTGATAAATATGCTTACAGGAAGACGACGCCAGGCTGGGGCAAGGGGGGGGGGTAGAGATGCTTTCACGAAGGAAACCCGTGCCAAATTGCCGCTCACACAATGAAACCCTAGCCTTGAAAGAGAAAAATCAATTGATACCCCTTGGACAGAAGCAAGACAAAAGGGAGTCTGGAACTTGGAGAGCCCCCAAGAAGCAACTTAACTTCCCACCGAACCGAAGACGCAGCAAGTTCGACTCCGGTGGGGGCACACACCCCCTCCATTTTGGCTGGGACGGGTTTTCTCGTTTTGCTGGCCGGCTTCCCATCCTGGCAGCCAGGAGCTGCTAAAAAGCCAGATCCCAGCCTTTTCCTCGGCTGATGGGCCTGCCTGGCTCGCATTTCACGGTGCCCCGGTGGCAAACAAGGTCAAGATTTTGCCCCACCGGTTTTTGCAGAGGTTGTTTAAGGGGAGAAGCCATCTCCCGTAGCTACACAGCCACAACTTAAGAAAAGAGGAAACGGGCTGGGGGAGAAGCCAATTAAACCCAAGAACTTGCTCCGTTAAGCTGGCACTCGATGGCCTTAGCTTGCCATCTGGGCATCAATGTAGCCTCCCAAGAGTTGGGTCGCTTCTTAGCCAAAGGTGCCTCTCCGGTCACCTCTCCGGTCTGGTTTGGCAGCATTCCTGGCTTTTAGATTTTTCACTTCCTTTTTTGGCAATATTTGGGAAGAGGAAAACAATTCCCCTATTGGGGAATTATTCAGCTGTTGCCATAACACGGGAAGTCCAGGTTTGTTTGGTAACCCAAGTTCCTGAAAAAAGCACTTACGACCAGTTTTCACACTTATGACCATGGCAGCATCAAAGGACCAAAATTCGGACGCTTGGCAACCGACTCCTATTTAGGATCACTGCGGGGTCCCAGGATCACGTGATCCCCTTTTGCAATTTCTGACGAGCAAAGCCAACGGGGAAGTCAGTTTCACTTAACAACCGTCAGGCTAATTTAAGAACTGCAGCGATTCACTGAAATGTGGCGACAAAAGTCGCAAAGCGCAGCAAACTCCCTTAACAAATTTCTCCTTGTGCGACACAAAATCGTGGACTGAGGACTGCCTGGATTTCAAATGGATTTGGCCTTTCGTGGTGCCTTTGGCTGATTTCATTATTTCAATACACTCCGAGGTCCTTTCCAACTCTCTTATTCTATGTTCTGTGTCCAAACACTAAAAGGCCACCATTGTAGGATTAAAACGCCAAACTAGCCTGCGCAGAGAGAGTCCCAGACATTAAGGCTTATTCTCATCCAGCGAATGTTAATGGTTTTGCCCGCCGGTAATTATGGATTGGCTCTGCTACAAAAGCTCAGCGCTCAGACTGACACACTCATCTTTGTTCTGTCTCTTGCAATCTGCTGGACTAGCCGCATAACATATTCTTTGTTTTTTGTTTTTTTGTTTTTAAAAAGAGGGGAAAAACAGACCCCAGTCTCTTTGGATCAAGAGTGGAGAGCTGGAAAGCAGAGCGTCCTTCCCCATTTTTAAATCACGGGTTATTATCTTCCTGCAACGAAAGCGTCACGCCGTTAATGGATTCTGTCTTCTTTAACGTCATTGAACGAGGCAGATGGGTGTCCTGACTTAGTTTTAAGCCTCACCCGCCCAGCCACGCACATACCCAGAGGCTCAACCGTCCTAATCCTTTAAAAGGTTGTGTGTGTGTGTGTTTCTCCCTGGCTGCTAATCCAGAACACAGGAAGCCAGGCGGCTGAGAGATCCCATTTAAAAACACATTATTTGCATGAAAAACTGCCCAAGCGCTGACAGAGCGTGTGGGAAGGACAGATCCCAGGGTAGTAATTAAAAGGACAGGTGTCCAGCAGGTGACATCTCTCCTGAT